GTCTGTACTCGTTGTCTTGTAAATGCAAGTTGGATTATCCCCTATAGTCGATTCTTATCATTTATTAGATGCTGATCTAAGAAAAGTTCCTGTAAAATAGTAACATGTATGTTTTATTATTTTTTCAAGACGTCCACTGTCATGTCGAACACGAGGCTGATTTGTTTCGTTTCTGTTTGATTTATATAATCCGCTATCCATATCCCGTTTCATAATATATCAACTGGCCAGAAAAAACAAAAGTGTCAAGTCAAAACTTATACTCGTATACGCAACAATCAATCTTATAAGAATTTCAACTTTTTATTTCAACTTTTTTTTCTTAGTTAAACTATGTAAATAACTTCATTCAAGCAAGTTTTCTTCGTTCAACGCAATATAATCTCATTTCTAAGTCCGTGTAAAGGCTCTGGTAACAATCAAAGAGAGTGTGGAACGTTTATTTTTAAAAATTTGATATCATAAATAAAGGAATTAACCTTTGTGCACCGTCAACAGCGCTTGGCTCTTACTTAGCCCGTTCCACACTCTCTTTGCTCATTTCTAAGATTATAGATTGTTGCGTATAAAAGTCTTTATCTTTATTTGGCGCTTCTTTTTTTTCTGTACAGTTTGCGAGGATTACGATTTTTGTCACGATTTTTATAGAATCTCTTTATTCCGTAATACACAATATACCTTTAATCGTTTCTAACCTCCTTGGATATTTATTCCGACGGTGCTAGAACGATCCTCCTTCACGCCTGACGTTTTTCCGTCGCGAGAACACACGGCAGATAAGCTTCGGTAAATCACGTTTTCACGCGGCTCAATGCACTCCGTCCGGGCGAATGCATCTTCGCGGAACAAAGAGATTACGTGCTTTCCTTATCGCGATCTCAAGCGGGCGAGGGGGCACGTGCTATCGCTCTCTTTCGCGCGCGCGCGCGAGCTTCGCTTTGTGCGTCGCGTCCGCAGAAGCGTCCGCTCCTGAATTTATACCGCGGCCGACCCATTCCAAGGATTTCTCCTACCGGCATTGTATCTCGCACGGGCACAAAAAGGGGTCGACGACCCGGATGGGACAACACCCCGGACAATTAGGTTCGAGTGTACGTTCGCCGGTCGCGCGCGCGGTCCTCGAAAAACCGGCGGACCGGCGCGATAGCGGTGGCGGCGCAGGCGACGTGCGCGAATCCTCGCTTCTATTCATAAGCCAATCTGAAATGCAACGGATCATACATATTACATGACGCACGCTGGATACAGCGGCCGACCGGTGCATAAAAATTTATCGGCCGTTCGCGGATACGGTGACAATTTTACATAATCCAGCGTATCTTCCGTTTTTTCATTAAGCTACGAAACAATTTAATTATCACATCGACCGTTCGATCGTTCCTACGGTTTTCTTTTTCAACCTGCGGACAGCTGTCGCGAGAACTCGAGTCGACGGAAATTGAATTTCCGCTTCTATTTATTGATCTTGATATTTCGTGCTCGCCAGCTTCTGCTGTTTGGGCTTATCCGATTATGCACAGAAATGCGTACGTGTGACGTTTTATATATAGAACTAGATTGATGAGCTTGATTCTTATGACTATAATACAAAGATTTTAAGTCGGACTAATTTATCTTTCTTTGCAGAATTATATGCGGCAACAATAATCGAGACAAAATTCAATATATTTGAATTTTAAGTAATTGAATTATTTGATTCAGTTACGATCGAATAATTTATATATAAATTTATTTTTACATAAATTTATATATTAATTATATATAAATAAATAATTTATTATAAGTTTGGATTATAATTGAGTAGATAAATTATAAATTAGACATTGAAAGATCACAAATTGTTATACTCTGATTATTCAGGCATATCGTAAAATTTATATAATCATTATGGCATGATTGCGCGCCTTGTAGCGGGCGATTGCGCTCACTCGTGGCGAGGCCGACAATCTCATTCGAGCCTTATTCAGACGTCGCGACGCGCGGGCTTGATATCCTCTGCGATATAGCATGACTAATCGCGAGCACGGGATAATACATTGGCGCGTCTCGCGTATTCAGACTGCATTTAAGCGGCGCGACGAACCGCATTTTTCCCGAATAAACAGCGTGACTCACTAGATGCGATTCCACTAGTTGCGTGTTTTCGTCTAGCCGCGCGGGAGATGGGCCGCGCGCGCGGCAAGGAGAACTCGCGCGGAGGGAAGCTACTTTGGCAGCGAGCCACGTCGTGTCATCGCTCGTGCCGCGCAAATTCGAGATTTCCTCGGCTGGCGTCTCGACAGGTAAACACGCGCCCGCTGCTAAACGCTCTCAATTATCGACCATCTTGCAATAAAATGTGTCGCGGCCCGTCCGCACCCCTGCGCGATACTTAACACCTTCTTTGACCGCGTCCCCGGGACTTGACGATTACAGCTTATCGCTAAAAGACGCTCAACTCTACCGTAACCGGCATGATATACGAGTTCCATTCACATTTCTCTTTGTTAAAGTTATTCATTTAGTTTGTAGTATATTCGAAAATCAGCTAAGAAAAATAAATTTAGTCAAGTAGATTAAGCATTATATATATACCGTCTAATGTTGTTACAAATCACGATTTAAAGTTAACGTTGTATTAACGTGTAACAAAGTGTTAATCTTCAAACGTTATTTGAACTAATCTCACGATTAAGGATTAAGGATTAAATTAGAGAGTGCTAATTGCATTGTAAATCAGTGCCATCAGCCGAACATGTTGCAATTCTGTTTTCTCTCTAATCTGTCCTATACTCTGCTTCGTGTTACAATGTCTAGTTACCCTAATTCCGAAGTGATTCGTCTCCTGTGCTTGACAAATTCGTAAATCCTAACTAAATCGATCATTATAAATCTTGAGTCGCGTAACTCTTAGTTTCGCATTGAGAATCAGTTATAAAATTAGATTATTATTTGAGAATAAAGCAAATATACAACAAAAGCATCTATATCTCTAATAGATTCAGAGATTTTACAAAATCTAATATATTTGAATTTTAAATAATCGAATTAATTAATTCAGTCGCGATCCAGCAATGAATAATTTGAATAATTAAATCTGAATTTATTATAATTGAGCAAGGAAATATCAGTGAATAAGCTTTCCGGTTATGCTGCATGAGATGATGTCTGGTGAGGCGAAATAAAATGCGCCAAATGGAAAACAGTCGCTGTAAAATACTGACTTTTTCACCGAGAAAATTTGGTGTTGTCGATGCGTCTATTAGGGTACAACACTCGTGAATGGGCTCAAATGCAGTTTGCCATTTGTCTCATGTTGCTCCCTGACCTCTCGGTTCTCAACCTACCTACGCCACGCAAACTTTCTGTCTGGATCTGTTGCGAGCGTCGTGTGAGGGCGGTCGAACCTTATGTACCGAGCGTTTCGCACACGTTGTTGCGCCGATGGGGATGCCCTGGAGAACGCAACATGTAAACTTCGTTCGATTTGCAGCGCATGATATACGATGTGCATCGATCATGTGCTCGAAATAGGTTAACGGAAATACGGAGGTGCTTCAGAACTATTGCCGCTTCTCTTAACGACAGGTTTCCGGAGACTGAGAAGAATATGGCGATTGCCCCAATGTTGAGATATCAGGGATTTTCGGAAGCGACTAATTAAAGCGCGCGTGTTTAGAACGAAGCAAAAAGGTGCATGGTTTTCATCAATGTCGGCCGTATGCATAGACGTATATAATAGACTGCGCATTCCCATTGGAGATCTTTCGCGGAGATGTAAAGGACGGAAGATATGCTTGCAGTGGCACTTCCTTTTCTAATTGACGTTGGTGAGGAGAAGGAAAGGTTAGGAGAAGTGATCACGTGGTTATTGACGCCTTGAATCTTGCTGCGGGAAAAATATCATCATGCAATACATTGTGCAAATACAATACTCATAAAAATACATGTAAAAATGGTTTGGTATTCAAGAATTAGACTTTATTTATAGTGATACACAATGACAAACTCGTATGTGCTCTTAATAGTTATTCGTTCATAATGTAACTATTTATTATAATTAGTTCAACATATATGTAACGTTTAATTATAATTTTTTAAATAAAAGTATTTAGTACATATCTATGAATAAAATTAGATAAGCAAAATAACTTGTTGCACATGTAATTAACGTAAAAAAATACATGCTTTATTTATAAAATATATAATATATTATATTCAAATATAATATCATAAATCTGCAAAAATGTAAACAATAATATGTGAAAATATAATTATTGCTTTTGAAAAATAACAATTCGATTGTGAAAACTTCTTATTCGTTTTACATTTTCACTTAAAGTTTTGCCTTCGTGATATAATCTTATAGAAAAATATTACATCATTTATTACATCATAATAAAAATTTGCAAAACTGCAGAAAAAGTATACTGCGAAGCACAAAACATCTTTTATCTACAAAGAACGAGCTGCTAAAATTAATGATTTGTGCTAAAAAATTATTACTGTCATTTAATATGTTTAAAAAGTTGAATTTTCTAATTGAAAAATCCCTTATTAATAATCATAAAGACGAATTATTAAATAATATTTTGAAAAAATATTTTTCTATTATATAAATCTATCGTAAATATAATTAATTGTAAATGCAATTGCGTTGAAAAATATTTCTGAATCTGATATTACTTTCTCTTTATTTTGTAAAAATAGTAGAGATTCCATATAAACAAAGAAAAACGCGCATTGACAAAATATTTTATTCATATATTTATTCTCCTAGATTGACCTAGATCGATAATGCATTGCGTATAATTTTTTTCTTCTTAATTTGGAACTCGGAGATTTAATTAAAGATTAATATTTAGAAACTCGTATTTAATTAAAGATTAATATCCAACGTTCCTTTCGGAGAACTCGCTGAGATGCAATGCACCGTCGCCTAAGTCAACAAAGTGTGAAAATATTCTCCTAAAATATCTTCTCACGCATCTGTTAAAGTGCATTCCTCTTTTCTGTTGCAGGAAGTGTTGCACACGATCAGTGCACCCAGCGGGCAGGTTCAGCGCATCGTAATCTTTAAGAAAAATGGCGTGCAGGCTATGGTTGAATATCCTTTTCAATACATCTCGCTAGTAGTGCTTTTATTGCATTGGCAATCGCTAACCAGCAGTTTCGTCAATTTTCGTTAACGATTCTCGGAAGGACACTGTATAACTCTCAATTACGTAAATTAACACTTTAAATTCAGTTGCGCTCGCGTTACCGTACTCGCAGTAAATTACAAATGTACCGCTAATGTTCGCCAAGTGTAATACTATTTTACGACTGCAGTTGTTGCAGTTGTTATATATAAAGAATTAACAAGATCAGTATTATTCCTTAAGGCACAGTTCACTGAGAACTCTTTAATTTTTAAAATCGATCAAATATCTTCGTATCTTATGTTTCGCTGGAAATTCCATTAATAGTGCAATTTAAATTTATTGAAGAATTTGTCATTGAAATTTTGACAAGCAGCTGGACAAAAGGTGCTAAAATGCGCAAGTGACGTCTTTGAGTCCGACCGTGCCCGAACAATGTCGCCGGGAAACGATTTATTTTACAAGAATGAACTGTCGTGTATTTGCATGAATTTGATTTACACGATAAACTTCAGGGCAAACGGCGCATTGAACACGCGAGTCAAGGGTCACCTTTGGCGAACTCGAAGCTCGCGGGATCAACTCTCCGTCTGACACGCTTTCACGAGCCGGGGAAACTTTGTCAAGACATGCACTGCCATTACGGCGTAATGAAGATTTATAACGGGGATTCGGGCTAACGGGAAGGCTCCCGATTTTTTCGCCGCGAACTCTTTTTTGGGTATTCCGTACGCGAATATGTTTAACGCGCATCTTGAGCTTTACCTCGGGAATAGTGCGCCGTATTTTCGGTGAATCTCCGCCTAGTGGAGATATTCCGGACTATTACGATCCAAATAATAGTCAAGTCGCGTCCCGCGTGACTATAAATTCGTTAGAACGTTACGTCATGTCGGATTTATACTATACGCGAAGGCCACTTTGCGGGAAAACAACATTGTAATGCCGCAGTGAACTCTGTGAGATTTCCGTCTTGTCGGAACTCTACTTTATCGCGTTTTTCTCGTAAAACTTGGTAAACGTTACAACTTATTTAATTTTATTTGCATAGTAATTTTTATCTGAAGATATTTTTGTTGTATCTTTTCGAGATCGACTTTTTATTTATAATATTATTATTAATATATTATTAATATATTTATAATATTATTATTAATTAATAATATTATAATATTTTTATTAAACAGATGCATTTTTAAATAAGGAAAAGTGATTCCAAATTTAATTGTCAACTGGTTATTGCCGGATTTTTTATAAATATCGACTTAATTGTATCGAATTAATTTTGAAATTTACATTTTTCAAATATGCTATATATCCTTAACTGATCGTTCTGATTATTACGTTTGACACGGTGGAATCAGCAACCAGAGCAAAGGAAACGCTACATGGGGCAGACATATACTCCGGCTGCTGCACACTAAAAATCGACTTCGCAAAGGTGAGTAATTATCTTTCGTAATTGCCTTTCTCTTTTGAAAGAAAATTTATGCGAATTTAGATATGTAAATGCTGCGCATCAACGGTAAGGAGGATCGCATTCGCCAACCTTAAAAAACGATATAAAAAAAGGAACCATTTTTAAAATTCTGTCGTCTAAAAGCATTTTACATAATACTACTCGCATTAACATTCAAGAAGTTCAGAAAACCTATTTGCACCATTTATTTTATGCGACTCGTTATCAACTCTAATTAGCAACACCACGAGAGTGCTCGTAGCATAAAATTCTATCTAATATTTGCAATTTAGCTACGTTTCATGCATATATATAAGTACGTCGGTATTATTGATAAAGCTAATTTAAATGCACTCACGTTGCATCTGTAATGATAAATTATATATAACTGCAAGAAACACGAATTATATTAAATTATTATATAGATTTTATCATATTTTCTTTCAACCATATAAATTACTTGACAAATGTAAAATTCAAATTTTTTCTTCTTTAAATTAAAAATATAAATTTAAAATCAAATCTAAATACGGAATTATTAATTAAAATAATATAGAACGTGACACGAAGAAATTTAATTTGAGATTTAATTTTCAAGTTATTTCGTTAAATATCAAAAAGCTATGACTATTAATGGCTTTCAATCGATTTTCCGTTTTGTAATGCATTCCGAATTTGTCAAAGAGGATATTAACGGGGAAATATCGATTATTCTGTACAAAACATTTTATGAGAAAATTCAGTCTATTTTAAGATAAATATTCAATTTGTATAGTTACAACTTAATGCATATTACATCCGCGTTTAACCGACCGAATCTTTGTATGTGATCAGCGAAACGTGAATATCTTTCGTGCATGACATTATAATGCTGATATAATAGAACGGTCTGTTTCTATAATTACGCGGCTCTCGTCGACCTCAGATTGAATCTGAGTCAGCAGAAATTTGAATCGTCGATTTAAGTAACTTATCGTAATCAATGCACCCGACTCTGTCGTAAATCTTGTAATTTAACGCTTGTAACAAACGAGCGCGCGACACAAGATGGATTAACCGGTTTTTATCTGATTCTACCTACCGCGCACATTAGCGTGACACGACAAACAGCTGCACTCTTTCACGCCCCTGTCGCGACTTTCACGCGAGAAGAATTAAGCTTCGTTCATACACAATACTACCATTGAATGGACAAACGTTCGTTGCTAAAGTGCCACAAAGAGTATGTGTCCCGAGTAATTTTTGAAAGTATTTATCAAAAACTGTACAACCTCGATCAATGTGTCATCACTTTTATTTTTTTATTTCGTAATTGATTTTTCTAAAACGGAAAGAACGTACGCTCTTTAAAACAGCTTCTTTTTTACTTATATACGCTCTCGTTAGACGCCGTCAGATGTTATTAGTTTCAGTTTTAAAAAGTCATAATATGTTCCCGCTTTTATGACGATCGCGATGTCAGCTCGCGATAGAGATGGTGAAAGGAACATCCGGCCCATTAAGCTTGTGCGATGATTGCAGGGAGAGGAAAAAGTGGCTCGTGCCGCATAAAAGCACGTCTCTTTGGCGTGAACACGGACTATTATGCCTTATGCCTTAAAAAATACGCGAGCAGCCGAATATTAACGAAGCACAGTATTACGAAATTGCTCGTTAATGAAGACGTGAGCACGCGCGACGCGTCAGATTGCGTCGGATATAATTATCCTCTTACGAGTCTCAACAGTCATAATTATCACGCGTATAATCATCACGAAAGATAGATTTATTCGTGCTGATAAAATATTTTGCTTTAGCAGAAAGAAAAGAATTTATTAGAACATCGCGTAGGAATGTTTGCAATTTTTATCGCTTGCTGGCAAAAAGAAGAGTTTCAAGATTCGATAAGTTTAAAACCCATCTTTCTCCTTAGCGAAAATGTGACTTTATGCCACTTTCTTTACCATTGTTTTTACGTTCAATTTCTTCAATAGCATCTTAGTCGCTCCCTTAAGAATATCGGTGTGGTTTCTTCTTGCATAACGAAATCCAATCATAGAATAGCGAAAATAATGATAACGACAATGGTCGGCGATAACATTTTCTCACTCGCCCGAACAGGCAACTCGGAATTACTTCGATTTGCTGTTATCCTTCCCGATATCGTTTCCTTGCCACCGACCGTGCGGGTCATATTGGAAAATGTTTGATATTTATTGACGAAGTCGACTATACTTTTCGTTCGAATATCACGCACAGCTGCTTCTTCTACAACTTTTGGAGTATATACTTGAAATCGTGAAGTATGGTTAATCGACCGTCCTTGATTTCTTTACAGCGTTGATCCTTATTTGTTTTTGGAAAGGTTAAAGGTAATCGTTTAATACAATACTAGAGGTTAACACAATAAGTGACTACAATTAGATTTTGCTGAAGAGAGTCGTAATAAATACGTCAGGAGATATCATAATTAAAACAGCACTCGCTAAATCTATATATAATGTAATATAGTGAACTCGAAATACTTTTTTTAATTTTTAAACTAAAAGAAAGAAGAAAGAAATTTGAGAAGCGAGTGATCTAGATTTAATAAAGCCGGATTAATCCAGAGGCAACCTGTACAATCTGAATAATAAAAAGCGCAAAAGTTTCGCTCGGATGGAGGTGCGTTGCAGAAATGTCGGTAAAAATTTCGGGATGGAAAGTATGCGCATACCAGAGAAGCTCTAGAGACGCTCGCTCGCTAGAGCGACAAGCGAAAATAGAGTCGAAGGCAGAACCCAAAGCTCGAAATTGGATTTCGAGGCGGAGTCTGTCGCAGGAACTTACACACCCCTTATCTCCCTATTGCCAATAGAAAGGCATGCCAAATAGCAGCCTGTGCTTGTTGGAAAGCGCGCGTCGGCTGTCGTGCCACGCATGAGCCGCATGAATCATGCGATGGATCTACGCGCGTGCATCTGCGCGGCGGCGAGGCCGAGGTATCGCAGACGTATCGGATACATCGGAGAAATATTTGAACAAGCTCCCTGCAGTATCACTGCAAATCCTTCTGGATAAATCCTTCTTCAGTGAGCGTCCCTTCGATGCATCCGCATTCTCTATACTGCGAGCCGGGAATTTTTTTCGTAAGAACAAACGTGGATGGAATGACAATGTCGTATCGATTACGACACGGTCTTATTACAGAGATTGCTTGGCGCAGAAGCGGACCCGTGTACGGAAACCCACCCTCGTATTATAACGTGTCTTTTCGTCTGCAAGTAACATTCTCGCATTCCGAACATATGAAGAGTAGCGCGGGCACTATTGCACTTTTTCACAAATTCTTTTTTTTTCCCCCGAAGTAATTTGATAGTACGACTTTGTTACTTTTGTAATCGCCACAAAAAAGAATATTGTGCGCCAATCCGTACTATCCGTACTACAATCCGTGCGCTTCTCTTTCTCGTTTTTCTTTTTTTTAATAACTTTTCAAACACAGCTTTTCAATGCGCTGTTTTTAACGTTTCTTTTCCCTCTCTTCAGAATTTGTTGGCTTTGCTCGGAGACGTTATTAGTGATCTCGAAACATTCACGGAATTAGCACGTTTCATCCATTGTTCCATTGTCCCGCCACCTAAGCTTTCTTTCTCTTTTTTTCCCTGAAATTTCTCCGCCTCGAGTTCGGTATTGCTGGCGCTGCAGATGTTGTAAAACGTGCCTTCCCTTTATTCCGTAACGCCTACGTTATCTTCATTCCTTAAGAGAGAGCAATATTCAAAGTTTCATTATTAAACTTTCGCCACGGATCGGCGAAGAAACGAGGTTGTTTATTGAAGCTGAAATAGCCGATAAAGTCATTCGTTATTTAGACGGGTTATGAGACGGGAGCGACGTAACTGTACCAATTCAATTAACGTTTTTTTTTTTTAGTCGGAGCGTGAAGTCGGATTAATTTAAATGTCACGTCAGTGCTATCTGGCGACGCTCGCGCGTCGACTTCATTTCCGGAACTTTAAACCCGAATTAATTCCCCCTCCGTCGCCATATTATAATTCTCGGGGTGACGATAAGACGGACGCGCGCGCGACGTGCTCGGCGAATCGCCGTGTCGCGGCGAGAGATCTTCATTCGGCGAATATCGTAAAGAACGTCCGACAGATTGACAAAGTTGCTCTACGTGCTGGGTTATCACCTTCGAGAACGCGCGAATTTATCGGACGGGAAGTATCGCCAGGAATTGAAAGTATTTACTCGCCATTGGAGCGACATTAACGACGCTAGTAGCGCGAACACGCACGTCCGACGTGTTTTATGAGACCCTCTAAAATCTAAAAAGAATAAGAGGTAGAAGAGACGCGCAAAGCGAAAACAAGGTGCCGAGCTCATGTAGAATGTCTCGGGACGATTGCCAGACCCTTAATTCCAGGATTTCTTAATCGAGCCAAAGATCGCTTTTACATTAACAATAATTCGTTCGAATGTGCCATCCTTTTTGTTCATAGCTTTCCATCTCCGACGTTAACTATTTATATTTAAAAATTAATTACACATTTTACAAATCGCCCTTTGTCTTAAAAGTAGGCGAATAAAATTTTAATTTTAAAGTGTATTTGTTACGTATATCGTTAATGCTAAAACGTGAAAGAGAATAATGTTCCTCTTGATTACATCGTACGAATTCTATTTTTCACTTATTCGTTTTGCATGACGATGCGATTCCCGCTCGTGCAAATGGAAGAATGCAAATTTTGTAATTACTCATGGGGTATTACTCCGCGCCCGGCACTTCTTTCTGTACGAAGGAAATAACAGGGCATATCGCGCCCTGTAGAAAACGACGTTACGAGGGCATAATGGCGCATAAAAAACAATTACCGGCACTTGCTGCCTAAAAGGAGGTGGGATTTGAAGGAGCGTAATTTTCGACGAGTGTGAATCACAAGCGGGACCACCGCGGTGGTTTCGCATTAGGGTATGCCGTTGCGATCCTGAAATTGCATTTCCCGGCGAGTGAATAC